ATTAATTTTTAACTAGTTTTTGGTTTTGGCAACGAGTACACTTGTAAGTGTTTTCGCTTTAGCATCCTTGCATGTGTGTAAGTGACTGCCATGATAGCATGCTTGCCATGAGGCTATTTGCTTAATTGATAAATTGCATGAATGCTTGTGGATGAAGACTTCATTATTTGAATTGGAACAATTTATCAAAATGTGAGTTTTAAGCCCACTTGAAGTGGCAAATCATCGTGTTTTAAGCCCACTTGAGGGTGGCAAATCCGCACTTTAGCCTACTTGAGGGTAGCAACTTCAAACCATTTTCGGAAAACAAACATGAGATGTCTTGTTCCAAACTGAGTGATTTAGTCTATACTTGTGTGTTGTGCGCATCACATAGTAAGGTTAGCTAATAAACCGGAATAAGAACACATGTTTTATGAAAACAGCATTATCATGTTATTAGAGGCCGATCCTTTGATTGGGCGAGTGGGGGTGCTCATTTCAGGACCTTCCCCTCTCGTATCCAAGTTCCCGAGTTGAGGCAACTTTGGTGATGACGGACACGTGGCCTTAGGCACAAGTCAGGGTTTCCTAAATTTTCCAAAACAAAATATTTAGGTGGCGACTCTGAAATCTGGCAAAGCAGTCCATGTTTAGCGCTTTTGATTAAAATCAGTTTTCCAAAACGATTTGCCAGATTTGGACTCTTTAGTGATTTATCAGTCTTACATTGCACTTTGTAAGATTAGATTCAGAACCGTGACAGGAGTCCAAACTGTAGTAGTTAGAACCCCAAATATGCGCTCTCTCCGAAAGGGGGGCGCGCGGAGCGAGTTCGGGCGGTCTACACTATGTCAAGGAGATTGTCAAGCTGCTAACATTGTTTACAGTAGGTTAGCTGAGATGATGATAACCATGCCGACGCCTTAGTTAACTTGGCCAGCGCTATGAAATTAGGTGAGGCTAGGACAATAATGATTGATTATTTGTCCGGCCCAAGTGTAAAGCCTCTGATAACAGAGTATGAAGCAATATGTGTGGAAATGGGTTCTAGTTGGATGGACACCATAATTATGTTCCTCAAAGAGGGTAGACTGCCAAAGGACAGAAAGGAGGCACACAAAACTAGGTTAAAGTCGGCCAGGTTTTGCCTGTCAACAAAAGGCCATCTGTACAAAAGATCCTTCACCGGACATCTACTCTGATGTGTGCATCCTTCTCAGGTAGAAGACTTTTTATATGAAATCAATGAAGGAGTTTGTGAAAGCCATACAGGGGGCAGGTCACTTGTCCATAGAGCCATCTCTCAGGGATACTAGTGGCTATACATGCAAAAGAATGCTGAAGCCTATGCCAGGAAGTGTGAGAAGTGTCAAAGGTTTATACCTTTGATATATCAATCAGTAGAAGATCTGAATCTAGTATCCAGTCCTTGGTCGTTTGCCCAGTGGGGCATGGACCTGGTCGGACCACTGCCCAAGACAATTGGACAAAGAAAGTTCTTGCTAGTAGCCACAAACTACTTTGCAAAGTGGGTAGAGGCTGAACCTCTTGCGAAGATTCGAGATACTAATGTGAAGAACTTCATCTGGAAGAACATAATAACTAGGTTAGGAATCCCTAGGGCCATCATAGTGGACAATGGCACTCAATTTGATAGTAAGCTGATTAAGAGCTTTTGTGCAAAATACAAGATCAAAAACTATTACTTTACTTCTAGTTTCTCCCCGAGTAATGGTTAGGCAGAAGCATCCAACAAGACCATCATGGATGGGATCAAAAGGAGGCTAGAAACAACCAAGGGAAAGTGGGCAGAAGAATTGCCCAATGTTCTGTGGGCATATTGGACTACGCCGAGAAGATCAACTGGGGAGTCTTTTTTTGCCATGGCGTATGGCACTAAAGCAGTTATCCCACTAGAGGTCGGCATCCCTGGAATCAGAACCCAAGGAGTAGAGAATGGGACCAATGAGGCACTCCTTACCCGAGATCTGGATCTACTAGAAGAAATAAGGGAGAGAACAACAATTCGACTGGGGGCATACCAGCAACAACTTGCTAGGGCTTATAATAAAAAGGTCAACCTAAGAGAGTTCAAAGTTAGGGACCTGGTAGTAAAGAAAGTGGTCGGCAACAAGAAAGATCCTAGGGAGGGAAAGCTGGGCTTAAATTGGGAGGGGCCTTATAGAATCATCTCGGTCGCTGGCAATGGGTCATATCGGCTTGAAGACAGTGAAGGTAAAGAGTTGCCAAGACCCTGGAACACTTGCAACTTAAAGTTTTTCTATCATTAGACTTTTTTGTTTTTCAAAATTTATGTCACAATTTTCTTAGCCGAGGTAGTAATAAAATTTTTAGCTTGATTTTTTAAGAATGTGAAATTTGTGTGATAGGACTGACTAGTCCTTTGGTGATGTTTCTGATTGAAACATGACGAATAACTTAGATTTATTATATGGTAGAGTTGAATTATACTTGCATATAATAGAGTTGAATTAAGTTAGCGATGTTTCTAATTGAAACATAACGAATAACTTAGACTTATTTTATCATAGAGTTGAATTATACTTGCATATAATAGAGTTGAACTAATTTGAATTGAAACTAGACTTGCCATGTCGGCATAATTATACTTAGAATGGAACTAAGTGCATTTTAGTTACATTAACAGAGAAACCAAGGTTGAGAACCTCAGCTAGTCTTTGTTTGAATTTGACTTCAGCGAAAGACTATACGTGCTTAATGTGAACATAAGTGAAACTTAGGTTCACATTAGGGGGGTAGAGAGCTGGAGAATGATAGATGAGCTTAAAAATTTGAAGTGCTTTGGGCTTGTTGAAATTTTTTGGAAACATTTACAGGTTAAGAATTGGCTTAACACTTGTTGAAATTTCAGAAAAATTTACAATTTGCAGTTAAGCCGAGGTAATATTGAAAGAAGTACCCGACATACGTCCTCGTCGATATGACCAGGTTACCAAACTTGGGAAGGATAGAAGACAGAAGTCTTGATAGAAGACAGTATGTGAGAGTGAAGTGGAAGTGTAAAGAAACAACATTTGTAAAAATATTTCACAATATTTTTAAGTGTTAAGCCAAGGCCAAGATAGACAATTAAAAGATATATCTGAGGTACTTTACTCTGAGGAGATTATACAGTTAAAGGTATACTTTGAAGGCATGCAAAATTATTCTAAGTATGAAAGTGGTAAACATACATAAGAGAAAAGAAGGCATTCAAACACTTAGAAGAAAGGAGGAAACTTGCATTCAAGAAAAAGTTTACTTGTTCAAATTACAAAAGGGGCACATTGGGCAAATATGATGCTAAACATTATTCAGACAAAACAAAATACAACTAAAAGAAGAAATAGTACAAGGAAAAGATGAAATATCCTAAGTACTAGGACTGATCTGTGATTTGTCAACCTCGGATGTCGGTGTTGTATTCTTTTCGGGCGCTATCTCGGCGTCTATTTCTTGCAAAGTCTGATCCAGACTCCTTTTAGCACACTGAACCTCGGTCTCAGAGGTTGTTGGATTGGGAAAGACGCCCTTGGAGACCATGTCATCCTTCTCATCTTGAGTTAAGTCTATTTGCTCATTGAGGGGGGGAGACTTAGGATTAGTGGCAGCCTCTTCCTCCACTTCATCAACTTCACCATCCTCGGCACCATCTTCGTTGGCATCATCACCAGAGTCCTTAGGCTCTAGAGGGAAAGGCACTTGAAGCTGATTGATGTCTTGGAGGTCGGAGTCCATCGGCACAACTAACTTGTTGAGAATCGCTGTCCAACTGAGGTAATAACCTCGATTGCAAGCCAAGTTGACTTGCTGTTTGTATTGATCACGAACGGCGGCCTGCCCCTCTTCAAATGCTTTTTCATCAGCCACCTTTACCTCGGCCTCCTTAGAGGCAAGGGCCTCTTGAAGCTTGGCCTCTATGGCAGTTACCTTGGCCTTGGCTATTTCAAGGTCGGCTCTTGCAGCCTTGGCTTCGTCATTGGCCGTTTTGGCTTTTTTCTCGGCCAAACTTTGAGCAGCTTTGGCATCCTTAGCCTGGTCCATTAGAGCTTGATTGTTGGCCTCGACTTTATTGAGTGAGGATAGGAGTTTGGCTGCTTCCTTGGTCTTTCTTGCTAACTCCTTCCTCATTATCTCGGTTTTGACAGCATATGAGTGAGCATACTGAATAGCCTGCAAGAAGTAAAACAGATTAGTGAGATTTTACTAAGTATAGAAAAAACTATAAAGAAATAAGTATAAGAGGATTACCAAAACCGAGTGTTGCATCATGAGAGCAAAGTTCTCATACAAATGTAACTCGGCCATGCGGTTCATGTCTTCTGGCAAAAGAACAACCGTTGACAGGGCTGCGCCGACTTCAAGATTTGTCGCACTGTCATCGGCAGTAAGGGGTCTGTTGTCGACCATAACCTCAGGTGCCTAGGCTATGGTGCGAGAATAGCTGGTGCTTTCTGGATGGTCGGATCTCGACTTTTTGGCCGGTAGGGCATCAGATGATGAACCTCGGCTGGATGTTTATCGGTAGAAGGGGCACTCTTTTCAGCCTCGACAAGTTTGGAAATTGGCATAATGTCCTTAGAATCGATCTGAGTCACTGTGGCCTTTGCTTTGGCCTTCTTCATCCTTTTTGGCTTTGGACTTGGTTGGAATGGAGAGGGCGAGGATTGCACCATCACAACCCCAGGGTTATTGGAGAGTAGGTCTTCAACAACTGCTGGTTTGCGGCCCATCTCTTTAGCAGTGGCAGCTACAATTACTTTAGTGCCAAAGCAAATAGTTGGAAGTGCAGTAGGTAGGTTTTCTGGGTCGTAAGTCGATGACTCAGAAAGTCAGCGTGTACGACTGCGGGTTTTGCCGGCAGGGGCAAAAATTGAAACTCGGTGTCAGCGTTGGCGCCGGGATGGAGGAATTAGTTGAGGGGCTGAGGTAGATGGTTAATCAGTTAGGTCAGAAGTGGAGGCCTGATCTGGCCTTGGAGATAAAGTTACTGGTGGAGTTGTGACAGAAAAGGGAGTCTTGTTTCGGCGAGGTACATCGGGCAAGGCCAACTTGTAAGTTGGTATGTAGTTCAGTAGAAGAGGCGTCTTGCGCTTCTGTAGAGGGAGATCTAACAACCTCTTCAGATTTTGGCTGGGAACGAAGGATTATCAAAATCCCTTTGCTGGTTGGGGGAGAGCTGCAAAAAAGAAAGTAAGAAGACAAAAGTATTTAAGATGAAGATATATCAATTTGACAAGTCCTAAACAGAAATGTGGTTATAAGAATGACTCAGTCCTTACCATCACCCTCTTTAAATACTGTTCAGCTCAAGGGATAGAGGTGGAGGGCTTCATCAGGTGAGAACTCCCAGTTGCCTGAGACGATGAACTAATCATCTTCTACACCTTTGTTGGAGTCTGGGAGGTCGGCAATAAGTTTAAAAGCATTGGATCTAGGCTTTAGGTAGTATATGTAGCCTTTTTCGGACTTGAGGCCACACATGGTATATCAAAATTGAATGTCGGCTAAAGTGATCCTAGCTTTATTTCGGTGTGCTAGTTCAATTATGCCATTGATAACCTGGTATTAGTTGATGGCTAACTGCATAGGGTTGAGCTTATAATAGTGAAAGACCTCCCTAAAGAGAATGTCTAGAGGGAACCGGAGTCCACACTCTATAAAGGCCACTACTGGGAAAGGCATGGAATCCCCATCAGGCATGATGGAGTCCTCCCCCCCAGCCAACCTAAGATGGATGTCGGCTGGGATGGAGAACTCTCTCCTAAAGTACTCAAGTTTTTCTGGGGTATCTACCCTCCACCTGAACATATCCATGATGTCGGCTAAAAGAGGAAGGTGCAAGATTTCAGAGGAGAGTGGTTGATATGGGTTTGAAAGACCTCGGCTAAAACCCTCAATATGAATTGGGGCAAGGATTTTTCAAGATCTAGGAGTTTGTTTCAATTTTCCTAAGTATGTGATTTCTCTATCAAAACCCAAGCCTAAATCTATATGGAAACACAAATCAATGGCAAGAATCTGGAAATAAACAAGAAAAACATAAATTGGGGCAAGGGTTTTTCAAGATCTAGGGGGAATTTGTTTCAATTTCCATAGAGAATGTTGTTTCTACCAAATCCCAAACCTAAATCTATACGGAAACAGGAAATCAAGGGAAAGATCTGGAAATAAGCAAGAAAAACAGAAAATGACATGATTCAGACTCAAGAAAACAAACAGAAATTCAAGAACACTGAATAAGTGTGTGCAGATGTACAAAAGCCAAGAACAGTGACAAATTGCTAAAACATCAAGTATATGAACAATTCGCATGTGTATATGTAGACCCAGAGACAGATTGAACAACACAGAATTGCAAGCAAGCATGTTTTACATCCAAGTGATTCAATAACAAAAAATGGACAGATGATAAAGGGGGAAACGTATTCAAAATCATGGAAGATTGAAACTAAAAATTGAAAAAGAACAAAGAACTCACCAGTTGGGTCTGAGGTTAAGGTTCACTGGAGTCAGACGGCGGAAATAAGTGGAGCAGAACAGTAAAAGCTTTGCCGGAGGAGATGAACAGAGTACAGTTGCAGAGAGCCCAATGAAAACAACAATGGAGTAGAGGATTTGTTAAGAGAGAGAAAATCTTGAAACGCAGAAAAAGGCAAGAATGTAAAGTGAAAAGACGGAGAGAGAGGGAGATGTTTTTTTAAAATGCGAAAAGGTGGCAAACCATACTAATATGCCTTAGACAACGTGTCTATCAGGCGACGTGCGTAGAAACGACACAACTTGATGGCGCGTGTCAGGTATGAATCAATGGGAAAACGATGCGTGGATAAAATAGTTGAGAAAACCGTGCATGACAGCTCATGCGCAGATAGAACTCTTGAAGTTTTTGATTTAATAAGGCAAAAACCTTGGCTAGAGGAATGGTCCTAGTTAAGGAACTTTAAGAACTTAGTTCTTGGTTCTTAGTCATTAATAAAGTAGACTGCAGAGTCTTGGTCATGTCAAGCTGACGTGTGATGATCTCGGTCATGAAGGATGGAGTGCATCTTAGCCAACGTGCTATGTGGACACCTTCCTAAGTCGGCGTTGTTCATCCTTGAGAGCACAAACTTGTGCACAATGAACCCGTCCAATTCCAACCCGAACTCATGGTGGTAACTGTGGTAGATAAAGGCAGTCTAGCCTTGGTAGAGAGTGAGAATACCAGTCCAGTGCCTGAGGGCTCCGTGGATTTTTCTGAGGAGGAATACAACCCATGCTGTTATATTGTGCCAACCAATCAGGCCAAACCAAAGCTGGAGTTGTCAACAGGAATTGAGGCCAATGTAGTCTGGGAGGATGGCCCGAGCCAAGGTTTGGATGATCTATTAGAGTTGGAAAAAGACTTGGACAATCTACAATTCTATGATGAATAAGGTCCGGGGAATGTACAGATTGACTGGTTTGATCTAAACGGGTTGGCAGACAATTTAGGGTGGCTCAGTGATGAACCTGATATAGATGAGAAACTTGAACTGAAGCTGGAAAAGCAAGAAGCGGGAACTGCTACAAATGATGGAATAGCTGATAGAAAAGGTAAACTGTCGGAAGACGCTGGTCTAAAACAAGCGGCTCAGGAATTGAGCATTGTTAGTACTGCTGATACAGAGCAAGAAGCCGCACTAAAGCGGTTTGAACAGGAAAGGGACGAGAATGATCAGAAGGCTGGAAAAGCCTAAGGCCTTGCAGGGAATGATTGTGATGTTGACGCAGAGTACTTATAACTGAACCGGACAATTGCCTGTCGGTTGCCGGAGGAATATGGTAGGAAGATGATGATCTGCATCTTGCCCACACTGATGAGGATTGGGGCCACGGCTTACCAGACCACACTTGGTACTCTGAGGAGGTGGATCCTATGACTAGGAGCGGGCGATACTACAAGCCCCCGCACCTGGACCAACTTGAAGTATTTGGAAAGGATAAGGAAGCTAAAAAATAGAGGAGGAAGTTGTACTAAAGCAGTTGAAGAAGATCCAAGCAGATATATTTATCTGGGGGTTGCTGATGGCTTCGCGCATGCACCGGCAAGCTGTATTGTCGGCAATGGATAAGGCCAAACTGTCTATTGACACAACTCCAGAGCAACTAATGAGACTTGTCTTCCCAGTAGGCGCCGCGCCAACTTTAACCTTTTTGGACAAGGAACTGTCGCTGGAAGGCTCTGTACATAACAAACCCTTATGCATCTCAGTTGAATGTAGAGAGAAATGGGTGCCGGTTATATTGGTTGACATTGGGTCTACAATCAATGTTTGTTCGTCACACACGGCCTATGCTATTGGCTTGAAGCCAGTGGACTTTGTACCAACGGCCCAGGTGATTCGGGCTTATGACAACACAAGCAAAGAGGTGATGGGAACAGTTCAAATCAGAACGCTGGTCGGGCCGACCCAACAAGATATTGAGTTTCACGTCCTGGATGTTCTAGCTACCTTCAACTTGTTACTTGGGCGACCCTGGCTGCACCAAGTAAAGGTTGTTTCTTTCACCTTGCATCAAATGTTGAAGTACCCTCTTGGAAAAGGGGTAGCCATTTTTTTTGGAAATTCTTCTATACATCCTCCGCCGAAGGTCACTACACCAGTACTAGAGATTGTACATGGCGACGAGGATGTTTTCTTGTCTGGTTTTACCTTGGCTGAGGCCCGGGTGGTGCAAAATATCTTACCTATTGATGAGGGGTTATACGTTAGTGCTTAATCAGTCTACCTCATGAACAAGCTACAACATATACCCAGGATGGGATTAGGAAAGAGCGGCCGGAAGGGTATTATCACATTGGCCGAAGTGCCACATAACCCTCATGCCTTTGGCTTGGGCTACACGCCTACCAAATAGGATTGGGTGAGAAAAGGGAAAGAAATGGCAAGAAGAGCTGTTTTGTGCATTTCAAAATCAATCGCGCTGTTTAGCGCATCACACTGTTTTGTGCATTTCAAAATCAATCGCGCTGTTTAGCGCATCGCACTGTTTTGTGCATTGCATTCAATCGCGATGTTTAGCGCATCGCACTGTTTTGTGCATTTCAAAATCAATCGCGCTGTTTAGCCAATCGCGCTGTTTTGTGCATTGCATTCAATCGCGCTGTTTAGCGCATCGCACTGTTTTGTGCATTGCATTCAATTGCGCTGTTTAGCGCATCGCACTATCTTGTGCATTTCAAAATCACTCGCGCTATTTTGTGCACCGCATCGCACTGTTTTGTGCACCTTACTTGCATCTTGCATGCATCCTCTCGCGCTATCTTGCGCACCTCACTTGTACTTGTTAGTACATTGCATTGTTTTGAATACAAACCGGCTTCGCGTAGCGCATAAGTCCAATTTTCAAAATTTTGCATTCCGTGTGGCATGCGTGTCACACTTGTATCATTTGTTTCATTCTACATTCCATGTGGCATGCGTGTCACACTCGTATCATTTTGCATCTTATGAGGCATGCGTGTCTCATTTATTTCATTTTACATTCCGTGTGGCATGCGTGTCACACTCGCATCATTTTGCATCTTATGAGGCATGCTTGTCTCATTTATTTCATTTTACATTCCGTGTGGCATGCGTGTCACACTTGTATCATTTTGCATCCTATGAGGCACGCGTGTCTCATTTGTATCATCTTGCATCATGCCTCATTTGCATTGGCACATGTGCCCCATCTTCTTCATCGGCATGCGTGTCTCATTTTCATT